TTGGTTTTTCTGAAAAGAAAGAACTTTTCATGTTGCAAGCTCATTTTTCAGACCATATATAGTCTTACGGAACTATGTTTTAATATGTTCAGACTCCTGGTTAAAAAAAAAACCACAATGTCCTTTGAGAGTTTATTTAAATATTTATACATAATTGCGTACACAGATAATGTAGTGGATTGATACAGAAAATCATCTAGCAGGCTCTGAACTTCCCAATCAAGATGATGTGGGTTTTTTTTATTTCTGATATTCACTTATTCCCTCAAATCCATGAAAAGACAGCAAGGTGAATCTGGCAGGAAAAAAGTCCCAGAGTTTTTGACTTCCCAATTATATGAGGGCACACATTTTGAGAAGGATCATTTCTTACTTCCCAGGGAAATCACTCTTGATTCTTTACACTCAGCAGTGATCATTTGTAAGAACAAATTCTGGTTGGTAAAAAAGAAGAAAGTTAGAAAAGACAGTGAAGTATTTACCTAGGATGGAGTAAGTGCAGAACCTACACTGATACCATTTTGAAACCTCAACAGGAAGCACGTTTGAAATGTAGCAACACAACCAAATAAAACTTAAGGAGAGCTCATCTCGCAGCTGATAAATAAGAAGTGAGTTATTTGTATGGGATTATACAAGCAATAATAGGGAAACAGTCTGATGGACAGAAGCTGTGTTCCCTGAGACAGCTTGATATAAAAGACTCACAGAGAACAACTTTGTAGTAGAAAATCTTCCTTTGCAACAAAATGTCTTCTGTGAGTCTTGTCTCCAAGGCTGCTGCAGCATCCTCACTGGCCCTGCCACCACCATCGGCTCCTCTGACCTATGCTGTCGATGTGGATTCGGCCTACCCAGCACCTGCCCGCACAAGATCAGCCTCCTCCAGCCCACCTGCTGCGACACCTGCCCCCCACCCTGCTGTGAGCCTGACTCCTACGTGCCATCATGTTGGCTGCTCAACAGCGGCCACCCTCCTCCAAACCTGAGCGGGATCTCTGTCACAACCTCTGTCCAGCCCAATGAGTGTGAAGCACCAGGCTGTTAGCCAAAGATAGGTCTGAGAGCTTGCCCACATTGCCCCAAGGGACAACAATAGTCATTAAGGGCTGTTCAGCAAATGGTCTTTAATTAAAAGCTCTGGAAGAAAATGTTCTGACCCTGTGTCTTCAGTTTTGCAGAACTGTTCTATGTTTTGAATGATGATTTCCAGCGAGAAGTCGAATAAATGCTGTCATGGACCTCCTCACTTTAAAACTAAATAAACACCACTGTGCCCCAAACCACGTGCTGTCTTGTGTTTAATGCTATAATTACCAAACTCCTGACACATGTGTGCACATCATAAACCTATAAATATGTCCAGCAGAATGACACTGTCTGATGACATCAACATAAATCTCATAGGCAAAAGGAGGCCTCACAAGGATATGTAGATACTTGAAGAAAATTGCCTGAATAGTCAAATATATTAAGCCCTAAGCTTAACATCATTTTAAATTCCAAGGTCAGGACCTACTTTTAATTTTAATGTTTCCCCTGCCTCTTAAGTAACTATCTCACATATCTCCTTTTAAAAGATTCTGAGAAACTGGCAATTAAACATCCATGTACAGAAGAAACCCCGAAGACTGGGCTGAGCCATATTTTTTTCATTGACTCATTTAGGTGAAGCTTTGAATGTAAAACCGTTTTTGACAGGTGTAAAAGCACAAGTGAAATGAATTGTTCTGGGGCGCCTGGGTGGCTCAGTTGGTTAAGCGACTGCCTTCGGCTCAGGTCATGATCCTGGAGTCCCGGGATCGAGTCCCGCATC